AGAAGACATTGGGGAGCTGCACTGATACATTTCTCCATATTGTAGTTTGATCTAAGGAACAGCAGGAGGTTACTAGTAATCCACTGGGCATTACTGATACATATTCTGCCCACACATGAGAGTCTCACGCAAAACCCATTGAAATGAATTAAATAGGTCCAGCAGTAGAGCTATTTAAAATTCAGAATAAAGTTGAAAGGCATTGTCTTGGGGTAGGGACAGAGAAGACATCAGCCATAACTAATCATCAGTCTCTTCAGCCTGGCAATATAAGTTTAATTATATTAACATAGCTCAACTGTATTTCATTAGTATGACTGCAGTTGTATCTATTGCTCCTTCTTATTACATATGGTGAATAGGGAAATAATCTGATTAGGAACATAGCTAAATTAATTCCACCCCAATGTTTGGATCTATGTTTCATTTGGAGAGTTACTGGTGTTATAAGTGCCCTGTACCAAGATGCCATATCAAATGTCCTATTTTGTAGTGGAGAGCAAGTTTACAATAAGATTCAAAAGCTTCTGCTAGGATCAAATTCAAGGTCACATTTCAGAAAGCAGTCTACTAAGAGGATTTGCTGTGGTTACTTTTTATATCTTGTAATTATGAGAGACATAAATGTTACTGAAAAATGATGTGGTCTGCAATGTCAGAGGATAGGCACCGTCCCTTCTGGCCACTGTCAGTCAGGGTCTACAAATGTGCTTTTACTTTTTAAATGGAGTCAAATCAGAAGTGTAAAGGTTCTGCCCTGTATATATGACACGGGTAGATTTACTGAAAGAGGCAGGAGGAAAGAGAGAGCAGGATTGCTCAGCAGGCCCTGGACTAACATGCATTCAGCAAACTGCAACTGCATAATAAGTTGGGGATAATAATAGCTCAACAAACCTTCCTAAACCTTATTAACTGCTACCAAGCTACTGGCCAAGTCGCCAAAAGTAATATATCCACCTGTGTAAAAACTCTTGGTTTCTTCAGAACACTCTGCTAGATTGATCTTTCTTCCAGCCACATTCATGGACCTCTTTTTGTCCACACTTGTCACAACCTATTACCATTCTCTTATTTATTAACAATTATACAAAAAGGAACTCTGGGCGGAGAACAACAATAGAGTAAAACAACCTTCTAAAACAATAAACTATGTTGAGGCCCTGGTGAAACTCATATCCATCCACCAACCACCCCATGCTAGCTCCATCAACATCCTGGCTTCAATGCCTGGGGAAAAAGCCAGAGTTTCACCACTTTCCTGAAGGTCAACAGCATCAGGACCATCCATATCTCCAAAGGGAGGCTGTTCCATAAGGTAGGTCCCATGACAGACATTCTGCTCTTATTTTTCCCCCCTGCTTCCATCACTGCTTCTCTAAGATGTGATGGGTTCCCCCAACCCATAAAGTTCTGTTAGGACCCTCCCTTCTCCCCTCCCACAGTTTCCTCTATTATGTGCCTTTAGTTTTAAGATTTTAGCTATCCATTAATCTGTGTTATTCACATAGCAATCTGATTTTCCATCTTCGTGCAACATCACTTCTAGAACGTTCTCTGCCTCACTGTCACCTCAGATAGACCATTATAAAAGTAGTCCTTCTTTTGTCTGAACTCTTCTGTTCTTCCCTTCTTATCATCTGTTCTTACCTCTGCTAGCAATAATAGTCACCTTTTTCTCCAGAAATCCCTCTCAGGCTAGAGATGGGAAGAGTTCATACTTGTGAGATTTTATTTCACTTTGACCAAAACCAGGTCTTTACACCAGAGTATGTCTCAAAGATCTACACTGGTGTTTTTCAAACTTGGCAACTTTAAGATGTGTGGACTTCAACTCCCAGAATTGTGGGAGGAATTTGTTTGGAGGAATAGAATGGAATGGAACTGACAGCCCTTCCATACAGGAATATATTCCTAGTTATCCAAAGCATCCTGCATCTCAGCAATATAATTTAGGGGTGGTGGCATCAGTCAGTCTGCCGTAGTAGTTCTGAGATACTACAAATTCTCAGAAATCTAAATCTACCATTTGCTCCTCTCTGTTTTAAAGATTTTCTGACTCCTTTCTTCTCCTGTATTTACACTGTTGATGCCTTTTCACTTCTATTCAGTGTCTTGACGATTAGCTTTTCTCTCTGTACTTTCTTTTGCAATCTTCATTTATGGATTATCTCTTACCCAAAGTAACATTTTTAATCAGATTTTTAATAACAAAAATATGTTTCATGTGTATATTTTACAAAATTAATTTGGCTGCAAAAAAGAGAGGTATAAAATGTTCTACTTGGGAGTGTTCTAGAATAAAATCTCGACTATGATTTATTTCTAGAGTTCATAGACGTTAGCATCTGTACACTGGCTAGTTGAAGGAAATTTTATTTTTTAGCACAGCCTAACACCAATGCTTTTTTAATGAACAGTGTTCAATATATTTTCCTGAAAATAAGAAATCTTAATTTTGGGTTACCAGATCTGGACTACAAAATCAAATCAACCACTACATAGCAGCAAAGGGATAAAAGAAACAATTCTTTGCTGTCATCCAGCAGCCTTAAGGTTTTTCCAGCCCATGAAATATTAATGGGCAAATTAAAAGAATTTGGTGCTTTAGCAGATTTAAAGATTAATCAACAGAGGACGGAAATGATAACAAAAATATGAAAATAGAAGATCAAACAGAATTGATGAATAACATGGGTTTTAAGATTGAGAAGAAAGTAAAATATCTGGGTATCACTATGACAAATATGAATTTATGTTATTTCAAAATAACTATGTTAAGAGATGGAATGAAGTTTAAAAAGATATGTTAAGATGGGAGAAACTACAACTGTCATTGCTGGGGAGAATTTTGGTGATAAAAATGAATGTATTGCCTAGAATGATGTTTTTGTTTCAGGTAATACCTGTTTTAACAACTGATGCACCATTTAAACTGTGGCAGAAGGATATATCTAAATTTGTGTGGCAGGGGAAAAAACTACAAGTTAAATATAAGGTATTACAAGATGCAAAGGAAAGAGGATTGGGTTTACCTGATTTGAAATAGTACCTCGCAGCTTGCTGTTTGGTTTGGATGAAAGAGTGGGTGTTGCTGAGAAATAGAAGGCTTCTGGAATTAGAAGGATGTGACCTGAGTTTAGGGTGGCTTGGATATTTGTGGTATGATAAAGTCAAGGTTAATGTGGATTTTAAAAACCATTATATTAGGCGTGCCATATTGAGAACATGGAATAGACACAATTATTAGAAAGATTTAAAGTAGACAAAAGAATTTATGGTTTTGAACATTGTAAGACT